GGCCGCGGTGGCCTCTCCGACCCTGCCGGCCCGCTCTCCATCGCCCCAAGCTCGCCGCTTCAGCCGCCGCATCACCGCGGGCTTCCACCATCAGCCCGTCCCCGCTCTCCACAACCGCGCCGCTACTCTCCAGCCCTTCGCGCCCCGTTTCCATGCCAAAAAACGCGCTCCCACCATCACCGACCTCGGCGCCATTCCGCGCCATTCCGCGCGCCATCGAGCCCGCCTCTCCGGCGGCAGCATGGCGCACAAGAACTCACCATCCATGGGTGGCCGAGGCGCTCCGCCGCTGCGCCTCCCAAGCGCGGCCATCCAGGCCGCGCAGTGCCATCCGCGCAGCCTCCATGGCCGCCTCAAAGCCCGCCACGCCTCCGCCAATCCCGCCGCGCGGATGGCGCAGCGCGGCGGTCGCTGCCGCTCGCGCCCTGTGCACGGCACTCCCCGTCGTACGCCGCACCCGCCTCCGGGCCTGAGCGCCTCCCTCGAGCACGGGGGAAGGTCCTTGGCACACCCACGGGGCTGCACCTCGCGCCGGTGTGACTGGCGCCCAGTCAATCCTCCGCCGGTCCGCCATACGGCACACCGGGACGCCAAAGAGGCTAAGTACTATCCTCCGAAATAAAATACAATAACTCTAGACTACAGCACTTTTCCAGTGCTGTGCCCAAGTACACGTTTTGACAAAGTGAATCAGCTCCTTCTTCAGGAGCTGTTTGGCAGTGTGCAAGTCCCTTTTTCAGGGACCAATCATTCACCACTCCCAAACAAATGCATTACATGCTTTTTCAGCATGTCTTGCCTCAAACTAGCCTCAAAATCAGCTCAGAAAACGCAGTTTCTTCTCCAGAAACTGCCCTACACTTTCCCACAATTCCACAGCTCCTTTTTCAGGAGCTGTTTGATGATTGCACACATCCCTTTTGCAGGGATTCAGTCGTGTACTGGTGACAATCCGGAACAAAACATGCTTCTCCAGCATGTCTCCTTAACCACATTCTGCACTTCAGTTTCTTGTTCAGAAACTGATTCTACAGTTCTGCATAACCCCACAGCTCCTTTTTCAGCAACTGTTGAGTAAGTGCACACATCCCTTTTTCAGGGATTCAGTCGTGCACTTGTTGTACTCACACTCCAAACATGCATTTTCAGCATATGTCCTCAAAACGGAGTCTGAACTTCAGTTTCTTACTCAGAAACTGATTCTGCAGTTTTGCATGATCGTCCAGCTCCTTATACAGGAGCAATACCACTTTTTCAGCGATGAACATCTATCAGATCATTCAAATTTCCAGGGCAGCGCCACTTTTGCAGCGGCAGCTGCACACTACCACTTTTGCAGCGGTAAGCATCAACCAAACGTGTCCAATCTCATCAGTTGTACCATTTTTTCAGTGGCAGCCCGTTACAACCACTTTTTCAGTGGTATACACCAGCCAATGTTGCACCACTTGCAACAATGGCAGCACCACTTTCACAGTGGTAAGCAGATTCCAGCCACTTTTTCAGTGGCAAGCACCATTTGCACCAGGCCAAGACGCCAAAAGGGTGCCCGAGCTGGAAAGTCACATCAGCTCAGTGCCATGCCGGGGAAAGTGACATCCCGGCATGTTCCCTAAAGCGCATGCCTGTAAACTAAACGGCTGGGGGCACAGCCCCGCAAACGCACATTTGAGTGACCCCATGGCTGGAAAGAACCATCAACCAACAGAGCACCCTCTCATGCACAGCCAGACCAGTCACGGGCGCTCTGACCGGTCCAAAACTCCTTGTTCAGGAGTCTTTCCTTTTCTTTGCCACTTATCCAGTGACTTTCCCACATTTTTCCGATCTTGTCACTTATTCAGCGACATTCAGAGCTGTCACTTGTTCAGCGACAAATTCAGCGTTTCGGGACAACCGAAGAGTAGGTAGGCTGGGCAACACACCAGCACATCCCCATGTTGAGGCAAGACACATCTCAACATGTTTCTTGGGGCCCAATCGACTGAAGAATACGGTCCAGAGCACAGCTCTAGGACCATTAGTTCAGACCCTACCCATAGCTGGAAAGAGATATCAGCATATGGGGATTGGATCTGTACCAAAATGATGTGATGAAACGGCCGGCGGCACAGCCAGCCCGTACATTTTTTCCACAACAATATTTCAGCTGTGGGTGATGGATGAACAAGTAAACACATGCAGCCCTTGCATGGGGTAGTCCGCCCTGGAAAGAACCATCAGGTGTGGGCCCACACTTTTGGTCGTGCATGGTTTCTTTCTAGCCTTCTTCAGGCCAGCCACCCCTTAGCCTTGCGCAATCGGCTTCGAGGCTGGGCACACGCCCAAACTGGGCGGTATCCTTATTCAGGACACATAGCCCCACCAGATATTGAGAGCCGCGGTCAATACCGATGAGGCAGCTTTCACGGAAATACTCTTGCAGCATAGGGTGTCACTCAGTCGTCACCAAGTGCCCCTTGAGGCAAAGCTCCTCTCAACTATCATGACCAGCTTGCTATACTACAAAAAACGCAAGATCTTGACCAGTTTTTGTTTTTTTTTCTCTTTCTAGCCGGTGGTGGCATACTCAAGCCATCCCACACAGTCATCATGCGTGTCAGACATGAGTCCCTCGCCAGCTGATTCATAAGTGACTCACCCAATGAAACGGTGGTCATTATACAGCTGCGCGAACACTTGTCAATTCACATAACCATTTCGCTCATTCACTAGCCCAGCCGCCCGGCAGGGCCACTTGCCCAACTCAGCAAGGCAGGAACACAATGTGTTACAAATCCAACGCACAACGCACACATGAAATACTGCCTGAAAGTAGCAAAGTCCATGGGGTTGCATCGCAATCTTATTTTGGCCGATGCTTTTCGCACAATGTTCCTGCCAATCGGCGACAGTTGGTGCCAATTGATTCCAATTGCTGCGATTGTTGCACTGACTGGTGCCCCAATCTGTTGACCGACCTGGCATAATCTACTGGTCCAGATTGGTGGACTGATTGGTGCACGAATTGCCGCCCTCACAAAACACTGAGTGGTGCATTGAATGCTTCAACAACAGGTCCTGCAATCATTGCATCGACTGGTGTGTTGGCCAGTGCCGCAAAGCTGCCATCACATCTATGCCGACTGGCAACAATCAGTGCGCCCACTACTGCTCCTAATTCTGCCTTTGTTACATTTAATATCTTCCTCAACGGCCCAAAACTTGCCATCATTTCATTGCTGACTGGCGCAGCAATCCGTGTGCCAACAAATCCCCATGCAGGCTGAATGGCCCAAAACCTGCCGTCATTTACATGCTAAACAAAACCGCAATAAATGCACTGATTGTTGTAAACATACACGCACTAACCACATCGATTTAGTGCACGACATTCCCTGAGTATGCATAATTTGGATCCTTAAAAATGAATCCACAAGATTCTGTTCTATCTATCAAAAACTGCCTTGGTTTTCACGTTGCCGTCAGTCACCTATTGGCACATCTATTGATGCGCAGATTGGCGTACCATTCACGCAATAATTGATGCGCTCACCTTCATCCTAAAAGATGCTGTCTTGGGACTAAAGGTCACAGCGATGAAACATGTTCGATGCATGTTGAAACTCGCTTGCATTCAACTGGCTGCCGAGGCCCATTTTTATTTGGCCTTAGCACAATATACATCTGTATATATTGCGTCACAACAATCAAGGAACATGTGGGTAACCTTGCCCTATAGCTCAATGCCGCACCGCCGGGTTAATAAGAGGACCGCGCTTGCATAGCGCGCGCGGATATCCGGCCTTGTCGCCAAAAAGAACAATTTCACTGTCGCAAAAAGAATAGTAACCCCGCATCTCCCCATCCAATCCTTTGATCACATTACGCCAACCAATGAGCCCCTGATCATCCGTTGTCAACGCGTCTCGCCCAGCCTCTCCCAGGTTCACCAGATACATATCGGGGACAGGGATCACGCAACCTCGTCCTTGCCAGCCCGCCGTCCGCGTGTCCCCCGCGCACCCCGAGAGACCCCTTGTCCCGAACAAAAACCACCCCCGGCCAGCTCCGGAGAAAGTATCCCAAAATTGGCGGAGAGCAGGAATCTTCAGAAGCTTCGATCGAGGAGTCACGATTTGCCTTACCCGGGCTCTGCAGGTGGGCAGGGAGGGCGTGGTGAGAACGCGGGCTGTGAATGCCTTTTGGTGTCTCTGCGTCCGAAGGAGTTTGGGGTCGGCCGGGGGTGTGTTGGCCGTGGGGCGAGCAGCAGCAAATTAGCGGACACCAGGAGTTTTCAGATCTTTCGATAGAGGAAGCGCGGCTTGCCCTGCGCAGGATGTGCAGGTGGGCAGGGGCGAGGGCTGTCAATGCCTGTTCGCGACTCCGTGGCGAGCAGCAGCAAATTAGCGCGGGCAAGGTTCAGAAAATTCGAAAACGGAATCGCCATCGGCCCCTTGCAGAGGCGCGCAGGCAGGCTCGGGGGGCGGTGCGCGAACGAGCGCCTTTTGGCGCCTCTGCGTCCGAAGCGGGCCGGGGGAATCTCCGATTCCAGAAGACGCGATTCGCGGCGCGCGGGCTGTGCAGGCGGGATGGGGGCGTGGGCCGAACGCCAGCGACTGCCTTTCCGCTACTCTCGTCCGAATCCGTGGTCCCTGCACATTCACCACGGTACATTCAGGGAGAGGTGCTTTTACTCGACCGGGGGCTGTTGCGCGGAGCCGAGGGAATGGTTTCCGCCGGGAAATTTTGTCGTGGGTGCGCTTTGCGACCCGGTGGGAGGTTCAGTCCAGGCGCTGCCCGGGCAAGGAGGGGGCCGCGCGTGGCGCTCTGCAACCGCCACGTACCAGGCGGGCGAAAAGATCTCCGATTTCGCGCTGCTGCGCAGAGGACGCCATGCCTGGCTGGTTTGCTGGTTTTCGACCCGTTTTGGCTGCTTGCTTTTTGACCCGCTCTGGCTGCTGTTGACGTGTTCGGCTGATTTGGGCGCAGGGCTGAGAGGGGGTGGCCGGAGGGGAGAGATGGCGGTGGACGGGGGGCTGTGGCGGCGGGCCGCGGCAGTGGCTTGCCTGCTGGCGGTGCTTGGCTTGGCCGGTGGCAGGTGGGTGGGTGGGGTGGGGTAGGGGAGGGAGGCGCGGGACTGGCTTTCTTGGGTGATGCCATGGTGTTGTTGTGAGCCTGTTTGGTCAGCGTCGTACATGGGGGGCCTTTGGTGGGGGCTAGTTTCCATGTTTGATGGTTGGTTGATTGATGGCTTTTTCTTGCCAGTTGGAGGCATTGCGTTCCGCTGTTGTCTTGAGGGCGTTCCCGGTACGGACCACGAGCAGGGCGGCATGACGGAGACGAAACGGAGACGGGGACCCTGCGCATACACGCCCTGAACCCTAAAACCTATCCGCCAGTCCTGACCTTTCTCTGTCTCGGCATGAAATTAGTCGCTCTGTCTTTTCCGCGGACATCCATTCTTGTTTCGGAGACCTCTAAACCCTAAATCACTGACCCACTACGGGCGTTGGCCTTGTCAGCGGAAGAAGAAGGGATTTTCATGGAAATGACAGAGGGACTAATATACTCTCCTCTGTCTCCGTCACTGTCTTCGCCTCCGTTACGTCTCCGTGGTAATGGTTTGTGTTTTCCACAGTCGGGAGCAGAGCATGGCAGTAGGAGTCACATCGCGATGTCTGGTTTTGAGACACGAGTCAATGCCCAATTATGGGGCTGTGGGGCCCCAACCCAGTCGGTCGTGTTTTTTATCTGTGTCGGAAAGATCTGCCTGGATGAATAATGAGGCGCCAGGGAAAAGAAACTGACAGGAAGGATGGGCCCTACTTAGGACATGTCTGACAGGGGGCGCTGGAAAGTGTCGTAATGGGGCACCGTTCAGCACATCTTGACAAGAATTGGCTCTCTTTGTTAATATTCACTTATTGTGTAGTTATTAAAAATTTGAACAGGGCCTTGTCCAGAGTAAATCGGTCTAGGTTGGGCTTTGGGATTGGGCTGAACCGTGCTGTGCTTGCAGTGCACATGGGCCCATGAGTTATGGTTGTAGTGATGGTTGTGTGTTGTTGAACGATGGCCGCTACCAATGCTCGCACTGAGCATGGTATGCAATCTAGTCTGCTTTCTGACCTAGACACAAAACTTCAGCATGTGTGTCGAGCTGTGGTATTCGTGGTTTTCCGTGCCTTTCCCAAGTTTGGTGTGCGGCAAGATGTGGGCAAATGGCCTTGTTCGGGCAGGTGATTCAGAAAAAAAATACCAAATGGCATATTTCTGGCAAAACATCAGCAGGGTATTGGAAGTTCAGACTCGTGGACAGTACCTGGCAAAGTGGGAAGATCGACATGTTCGAAATAACTGAAGCATATTCTGGTTGTACTTTTCACAAATCCACACGCCTGCACATACTGTGCACACACAGGTCCTCTGGTTAACCTGGTGCACTGTCCCACCTAGGTTGAAGTGTCTGCGTGTTAGTGGTAATGTGCTTTGTGGCCCCTTCCCTTGGGGCCCTTGTACATGAAATCAGAGGACAGAGGTCCATTTTCTTTGGTCTATTGTTGTTGGGACCCCACCGCATGTTCCCCCCTTGTTGCTTTTCCCAAAGGTATTTGAAATTTTTTTGGCCGGTGCAGGGTGTGGGATATTGATGAGAGGACTGTGGATCCCTCTTTGACCGATGCTGAGTGGGTTGACTCTGTCAAACTGGAAGGTGAGGGATGCACCAATGGATACATAATGCTAGAATTTTGTATGTTTCGCACTGAAGACTGTGTGCCCTTACACACAATACCACATGCCGCTTGATCACAAAGCAAGTGTGAAGTAGGATGCTGCACCAGGATGCTGTTGTGCATCTGAGGCACAACTCGTGCACAAGAGTGAACAGACATTCTGCATTTTGCACGGGCATTATCTTGCAAGGGGAAAAAATAGGTGTGCTGTGAATGGCTTGATATTTTTTTCTTGTGGCACGGTTTTTGTTCCAGAATATTGAATACTGAGTGAACAAACAAAATCGATTTCATTCTGTTTAGAGCTTGACATACCCACCCCCCCCACCCCCCACCCCACCCCTTTTCTGAACCTTCTTCATTGTGCAGTTGCCCTGTCAGTACTTCAGGTCAGTACTGCAGAAGTTCTGGCATCCATTAGCTAGTTTCCTGAAGTGCACCTCCACCTACAACTGGACGTTTGGCCCAGGCCCTTGGCCTTTCACTACATCCTGGCAACACCAGGTGCCCTCCCTGCTCATGCAATGCAGCAAGATTCACTACCCCTACTCCCCGGCTGCTGCGCAGTACCCTTGACTATTCCCACTCACATACTGCAACGCTGCCCTGACCTTCATAATTAAAAGGGCATCAGCCACTGCTGCCATCCACACAAGCTCATCAATGCTCTGTTGCAATTTTTGCGTTTTGCATGGCCATTTCTCCTCTGTGCACTATCCCATCCCATAGCTCCCTCTGCCAATCGTCAATTCAGAAGCCAGCATTTGCAATGCTCTGATCGCCAAAGGCTGCTCATTGTCACTGTTGAGACCATCTTATACTGTTCGCCTCCATCTGTACGCCTCAACACACTGTCATCCAGACCAGCAGTTGAATGCAAATCCTGTTTGCCCTCCCCCCCCCTCTGTGGCCTAAACCCCCGTGACAACTACCAAACTGCAATATCTGACATCACCCATCAGAGAGCTTGTGTGTAGGTCCTTTCCACCCATGGTGAAGGCCACCCAAGCCTCCTCCCGCCTTACCTTGATTGTGGTGCAACTGGATGGCCTCTTGAAAAGAGACTATCTAGCTGCGACCAGTTTTTGGCTAGTCACAGTCCATGATGGCATCCTGCCTCAGCCCCACCCCACACCAGATTCATTCAGCACGAAGTGTACTGAAGAAAAAACAACTTGGGGGCCTAAGAATATGAATAGGTATTTATAATAAGTTAGCAAAGGTGTTGCGGCGTGCTTGCCTGACAGGACCTCTGTCACTGTGCCCTGTAGGTGGCCAAGGTCTCGAACTTGCTGCCCCCACCCGGGGCCTTCTCAATCTGCAAAAGAACACAACTGTCAACCAGGTGAGTTGTATGGTTGATGCGTGACGTTTACTGTGCATGTAGTTCTGTAGTTGTTGTTGTCATCATGGCTTGTGTGATATCAATTTGCAAGTCATGCCACTGGCCCATGCAAGATGCACTGATAATTATTATCGGTACTTGTGCAAGGGAGTGCTTTGCGTGGACAGTATGTCCACGCAAAGCACTCCCTAGCATCAGTACTCTAGATTTTCTGACCAGATTGGTCTGAGTAGCTGTGTTGGTACTGAGTACCAACAGGGACAGCACACACAACGCACGTGTGTGGACATTGTTTCTCCTGTTCAGGATGGTTTGCTGCTTGTGGGTGCATGCGGTGCTCCAGCAGCAAGAGGCAGTGGCAGTGCACTTCTAATGTTGATGCTCCAGGTATTCTGCCAAAATCCAACACCACAAACGCTCACACTAACACACATAGTTCTTGCTAAAGGGGGGGGGAGGGGTGCTCCATTGTGCGCTATGCCTGCTGATAATTGCAACACATCTCACCACGAAGCAAAAATCAAGACAATAGAAAACACCACGTATGCACACACTAGCACACATGATATCGCCAATTCTTTTGTTTGATCAACAACAAAGTAACAACAGCACATGGATTCGAACACCTTTGAGGGCTGTACAGCGCCTTGCAGTCTTTTGCTAGGTGGCACAAGACCTTCATATCATGTGATAGGAACGGGGGAGGCACCTGGACACTGAGTTGTGCTGCAGCATTTTGGAATAACAAAAAATAAGAAAAGCAGCAGATGCACAGCAACAGTACCTCGTCAACACCTGTGTGGGCCAGTGCATGTATATATAGTGTTGCATGCTGACCGATCGTTGACCATCATCGTCAGACCCTCTGGGCCGCCGCCAGGAACGGCAGCGCGGAGATCGTCGCCCAGGCACTGAAGGACGGCGCGCATGTGGACTATCGCAACGGCGCCCACAACGACACCCCCTTGGCCGTCGCCGCGTTCTACGGCCACCTCAAGGTCGTCAACGTCCTGTTGACCAGCGGTGCCGATCTCGAAGCCGCGGATGACAATGGATTGACAGTGCTGATCGGCGCATCGCAAGAGGGCCACGCCTTAGTCGTGGCGGCGCTCTTGGTCGCCGGGGCAGACCCAAACGCCACGGCGCCCTCGAGTGGCGTGTCGCCGATCTCTGCAGCCGCTCTGAAAGGCCATGGAGATGTTGTCGTCGCGCTTTTGGCGGGAGGGGCGAGTCCCAGCGCTACGGATGCGGACGGGGACACGCCACTGCACCTGGCGGCCGTTACGCTTGGGGGTGGCGCGAAAAACGTGACGCGGGCGCTGCTCGACGCCGGGGCGAGGGTGAACGTGAAGGGGTCAGATGGGGACACGCCCGTGTTCTGGGCCTCGTACTTTGGGAACGTGGGGGTGGCCAATCTGTTGGTGGCAGCCGGAGCGAACGTGACCATGACTAATGATGCCGGTGACGTGCCGGGTGACGTCATCTGCGGGTGCCTGGGGGACGCTGAGATCGAGCAGGCCATACAGTGCCCAGAGGGAGGCTGCGAAAAGGGGTTCGTGAGGCACCGTCTGGGTCAACTGTTGAAGTGAGGACATTCCGAAAAGTACACCCAAGAGTACCCAGGAATCACCCAGGAATGTTCTTCCTGGTTATCAGTGCCTGAATGGAGAGTTACTGGTTCGTTAGGCACCACCCGGGTCAACTGTTGAATTGAGAATAATCTGCAAAATATGCTCAGGAATACCTAGGAATCGCCTAGAAATCTACTTTCTGGGTCTCGTTGCCTGATTCGACAGTTGGGGTGTTGCTGGAGTGTTGCTGGGGCTGCATGTGCAGCGCACGGAGCTGGTGGGCCCGTGGAATAAATTTGGCCCTGGCAAGTGGTTGGCTTGGGAGCAGCGGCACAACATGGCGAGTGTGGCAACTGTTCAAGAGGGCTGTATCCCTCCTCGGGTGAGGAGGGCCGTTTTGGAACCACCGAGTGAGGTGTTGCAGCGGGACGTGACGATTTGGGCGAATGTTGACAAGGCGCTTGGAACGGCAAGGGCAATCTGTCGAGGGATGGAGACTGCTTGGTAGGCCAGGAGGTTTGGAGGCGTTCTGGGACTGCCCACGTGATTGATACTTTAGAGCAAGGCTTGGGGAAACCTGGCGCATGGTTGAACAGAGGCGGCAGCTGTTGAATGGGCAGTCCATGGTCGCATGTACAGCCTGAGAACCGTCAGCCATGGCTTTGTTGTGAAAATTGAGAATCTTTTCGTTGGCAGGCTTCTTAATTATTTATATATGGTTGGTGGCTAAGGATGGGAGGCAGAAATGGGATGGTGGCTGTTGAGCTGTCGGCAAGCTGTTTTCTCTCGGTTGAAGTGGTCCTAATTAGGGAGGAGGAAGAGACTTTGGTCATGTTCTGGTTTTGCGGCTGGATTGGGGCGTCTGAGATAAAAGCCAGCGCTGCTGACAGTGCTGGTGCCAGCACGGGGCGCCTCTGTGATCGGCTGGATGCCTCTTGCGCTGATTTAAACCAGCCGCTGGAATGACCAGCGTTTTCGCGTCGTTGAGTTTGCGCGCTGCATTTCTGCGTTTGGGACATGATCAGGCGCCCGTCATCGCCCGCAAGGTGCAGCGGCAGCACTTTTTCTTTCTAAGGCGGTTAAACCTAATGAACTTGCCAGACTTGAAGCAAAGCTTACCATAATCTGGAAACGTGCAACACATGTTGCCAGTGTTGTTTGCCATGACTTAGGTAGCCACGAACCCCTGAAGCGCACAATGGCGGAAACATTTGCACGAGGAGAGGAGATGGCCCCCTGGCTTGCGTGGAGATGATTCCAGAATGATTTTGTCTTAATTACAACCCTGGATTCAAGTGAACTTATTCATTGCAGTGACATGAGATGCAGCGCACTTGCCATGGCGAGTGCCTTCGTTGAATTGGATCATGGACAACGTCATCTTTTCTGGCGGTGGGCATGGGCTACGCCATACTTGGACTTTGATCTAAGATCTGATTCCTGATAAAATCATCGTGGCCAGCAGTGTTGACGGATCTTGGCAAGGGATGACACTATGTCGACTTTGTTGCGGTCAACATCAATTGGCGTTGAGGGGAATTACAGCCCTGTGACGCCAAGAGTATGCCTCGTTGGGGCAAACCTACCCGTTCAGAAAAAGGACCCAAACCGACCTTGTCTTGGGGGCGAAAATCACTTTGGAACGTTCTGCTTCCAAGGCAGGTCCCCAAATGCGTTAATTAATACATTACAAAATTACCATTCTACAAAATCACCAATAGTCCAGGTGTGTGTCCCAAGCCAGCCATCTCTTCAAGCATTCCACTTTCAGCCCGCCGAAGTCTCCGCAGTGCTACCCATTTGCCCTCCTTGAAAGTTCCGTCATCTTCATCAGAACGTCTCGAAGGGCCGTGTACTATGGCGTGTAGTATGCCGTGTACTAGGGCGTGTAGTATGCCGTGTACTATGCACTACTTCGAAGGGCTGTGTATGTGTTTCGAAGGGTCGTGTGCTCAATGTGTCGCCAAAGCAGCCAAGCCTGGCCTTGAACCCAAACCCCACAGACCCGCGACTCCCAATTCCCATCGACGAGAATTCCCAGATGGCATGGCAACATGGAATCAAATTGATACACTCTCTTCAAACTGTAATCGCTAAGATTGCTTTTCATCACCGTGATGGCATCACACATAACGCATGCAATACCAAATAGAACAACTGACGGCATTCGGCGGCTCTGATGACAAACCATGCCGCTGTGCCTCAGTGCCTCCACTGGACAGGGCTGCCTGACACACAGCGCTGTCTGCCAGACAGTGTCCATGCCCAAGCGAAAAAGATCCTAATTGCTGCAGCAGTATTAGGATCAGGTCAGAATTTATGGAATTAACTATCCTGTTAATGGGTTTCTGCAAAGGATGACGATTGGGAGGGCGCGCAATGGCCAGGTCAGGCCGTTCCGCCTTTTCGGGACAGTTTGGGCCATCCATAAGCCGGTTTCTGTCACCCCTGTACTCGGGGTCAGTACTGCCCGGCGTATCCAAGGGCTCTTGGGTTGGACCTTGTACCTTGGGTGCAGTCAAGGGGACCGGTCAAGCTGGCCCTTGGGTTTGGCGGGGAGTTTGGCGGCAAGTGGGAGCGGCTATTTTAGGCGCGACCCTTGGCCCCCCCCTTTATCTTGTTTCACTTTGCACCAACACTTTGGCACAACCCGGAACCACCGAGTGGTTCGACGTTCCGGCCTTCGCGCCGAGTTCTTTCTGTATGAACCCCAGCCCGGCCGAACAGTGGCTGCGGGCACAGGCACTTTGTTTCAACCAGCGCCTCCCTGACCGTCCTATTGAGGTCACGTGGGTTTCCGACCCCCGCTTACTCCCCCGCTCAGTCAACAACCGGGTCGCCAGGCCGGACTTTACGTCTTTCCCGGCGCGGTTCGACGTACGGGAGACCGGCCAGGGCCAGACCGTCGCCCCGGCCTTGGGACCCAACTCCGGCTATTACCAAGAGTACGGAAGTTGGGCGCCGTGGGTCGCGTGGCAGTTCGACTACACGGCGGCCTTCGTGGACCTGGTCGCCCATCTGAGTCTACCGCCTTCGATCCGCGATCTTCTCCTGCCGTACGTCTATGCCTCGGTGGCCATTACCGAACGGCAGGTCGACCAACTGCGCCTCCATCAAGTGCACGCGAAGCATTGCGGCACCGGGCTCGAGGGATCCTGGCGCGCGCTGCAGGCCCTGATCCGCCTCAGCAAACCCGAAGGCGGCTTCACCACCGAGACCATCGATGGGATGCTGGGCACCATTCGCAAGGAGCTCCTCACCCAGGAGGTCAAGCTTGCGACCAAGGTGGCCGCAGCCAGTCGGGCATCCAAGGCGGGGAGCGGCGATCCTCCTGCCCATTCGAACGGCCCATCGGGGAAGCGGGGCAAGTGCCGCAATCCTCCTCAAGCGGCACGTCCACCTCCGGACGCGTGACCGACTTCCCCTATAATTGCACCCGCGGACGCCTCTCGGCATGGCGGAGGATTGGAGCGCCCTCGCACATGCTTCGATGGATCCATTCGGGCGTCCCGCTGCCGTGGGGACCGCAAGGTCCTCCCCCGCCCTTCGACCAGGGGGAATACCCGATCCGTTCGGCGGAGGAGCGGGCGGGCTGGACGGCCCTCCGCGAGGAGTATTTGGCGTCGGGTGGCACGTGGTTTTTCCGCGCGCGCCCCGTGCGATGGATCGTCGATCCCTCCGGCGGTCGGCCAGGCGTAATCGGCACGGTCGCTCGATTGATCTCGACGCGGCGCGGACGTGGTGGGCCCCTTGGCGGAACGGCCGCTGCGGTGCGTCAGTCGGAAGGGTGGATTGGGTCCGGCGTTGCCTTGCGCGCGGGTCGCAGGCAGGCAATGACAGCAAAACGGATGTTCGTTACAGGGTTCCCAGCGTCTTGTCCCCGCGGCACACAGCACGGTTACATAACCCTCAAGTCACCCTGTACTTTAACCACCGTCCCCACAAGCACCCAGACCGTCCCCAAAGCCCTTTTTCCAATGCAGCGATATGGACCGAAAATGGCCAAAATCTCCAAATCGCCTCGCTGCGCTCGATGCTCCGCGAAGGCGCGGATAATTGGTCCGCGCGCCTTTGCGTCGCATCTCACTCCGCTCGAATAAAGAACCAAAGGCATTGTTCACACAACAACTACCTCCCCCTGGGGGTAGTTTTCGACCTCGAAAACAATCAACCGTTTGTCGGCTGCCTCTGGTCCTCTGTGGGCTTGTCTCGTCGGATCATCTTCTCTAATTCTCTGGCGCTTGTGAAGTTTTCTGCCGGGATCCATGTCGCATCGTCAAGAGACCAGCCTGTCCACAACACAAGGAACTCCTTTTGTCGTTGACTGCTTGGTCCTCGCCACCTCCACCTCAACAACTTCTCCACATCGTAAGGCTCATCATCCTCTGGCTCCAGCTCTCCCACTGCAGGTTCAGTAGGCGTAGTCCACTGTGATGTCCTGAAGGGGCGTAGCAAGCTCGTGTGGAATACTGGATGAATCTTCCACGTAGATGGTAGATCCAACTCGTATGCAACAGGTCCAATCCTTTGAGCAATGAAGAAAGGTCCAATAAACCTGCGTTTTAGCTTGCGTACAGGTGCGTTCTTGAGCTGTAAGTTCTCCGTACTGAGTAGCACCTGATCGCCTGTATGGAACACCTGCTCACGTCGGCTCTGATCTGCGTAGTTCTTTTGCCTGTCTTGAGCTCTGCGCAGATACTGATGAGCCTTGGTGAAGATCTTCTGCATTCGAGACACAAAAATGTTGACTCCCTCATGGAAGGTGGTGTCAACGTCTCGAATAAGTTCTGCCGGGGTACACGGGTGGTAGCCGTAGTTCAAGTAGAATGGTGTGTACCCGGTTGCTGTTGACGGAGTGTTGTTGATGGTGAATTCTGCCATTGAGAGATATTTCTCCCACTGTCGGGGCTCTTGACTTGCGTGTAGTGTGCAACGCAATGTCATCTCCACCACCCGGTTGACAGCTTCTGTCTGTCCATCGGTTTGCGGATGGTGCGCTGTTGACATCCTCAACTTGC